TCAATCAGAGTCTTGTACATCTGCAGTATGGCGACATGCGGCTGCAACAGTGCCTCCAGCTGCCGGGCTTCTTGTGTGTCTGTCTTGTTAACTAGCAAATCACATTTGGTTGCATTCAACGGGAACATTGCCTGGCAGTTCCGTACTAACAGCAGCTGTGTGATCACAGTACTTGAAAATGCCTGACCAAGCATTGCCAGGAAGATACCCAGCTCCACTGTCAACCAACAGCAGCGCCTAGCGGAAACCAGTGTCCTCTGCGTAGTGATGACAGGTTGAATGTCTTCACAGGAAGCAGAAGAAGAGGCATGGCTTCTGGACAGATTTAGTTCTGACATCACATGAATACAACTCCCACTATGTGCATTCTAGACACACCAACAGGTGCACCAGTTATACTTTGGATTAACACAAATAGTAAAGTCTTAGGGCTCCACAGTGTCATCACCAAACACCCTAAATAAGCAAAAAATATCAATGTAAATTTCAACTTAAGAGTAATGATATCAAAGTTTTGGTGATTGCTATGTTACATTCAAGAAGAAACTATAGGCACAATTCCCCATGTCTATGTGCCATGCTATTAATTAAAAAAGAACCATGGAGGTAAAGCTTTGTACATTCTTAACCTCAGTACATGCAGGTGAGCAGCCAACTTCATGCTCTAATCACCCAATATATCCCTAGGGGGAAATACTTTTGTCACAGACCACATTTTTTCTTGCCCCTATTGCTAAGAGGCAGTTAGTTGCATACATAAGTCCACTACTGTGGATATGAGAGGTTGGATGGGATAATCTACAGAATACTGCCACTTCTGTAATTTTTTCCCCCAGCAACATATCAATCTTGGCATTGTCTCTGTTACTGCAACAAAGCAATGAAAGAGATGAAGATCACAATGAACAGGAAGTGGAGAATATTATTTTTATTTAACCAATACATGCGTTCAACTCTATTATGGGACACTAGGGTTCCAGGATAAATAATGGTTTATCTAATTGCGATGATTCTCATTGTTCCGGGAATGACTTCACAGAAATAGAGGATACATTATAATTTCTGTAATGGTGCATTTAATTATGATCGTACGAAAAAAACTACGAATATCGACAACTTGGCCCGTTGCCTGCTACAATAATTACGTCCGATCTTGTGCGAATTAATAGGGAAGAAAAAATATTTGGACACATTTTTTTATGGTCTTCAGTGACACTGTCTATACACAGACAATACCAACATAACGGCATGGCAGTGTGAAAGATTAATTTTATATAAGTGTTCTGCTGTATTGAAAATGTCATTGTGAGCGTACCAGTGGAAATTACGCACCTTCACTGAATTATAGGGATGAAACACACTGTATCCAGGGAATGTTCGATTTTATCAAACGCAAATCTTTTTGTTAAACAGAAAATAATTCAGTTTAATATTAATTTATTTCCTTAAAACTCACCTAGTGTTTTCAGTCACGAACTATTGTAGTAGCAAGTTCCGCCGGTTATAGTCATAAGTCGTGACTAATATGACAATCGTCCGAAAAATTCAATCATGTGACTATAAAAGGGAGATAAAAACTCATCTACTACATGACGAATACAAATTCACAAAGCCAGTTAACAAAACTTATTGTGTAAACTTCAAGGTTATGTCGAAATGCAATGACTGCATTGTGTCAAATAGAACGCACAATACTTGGAAGTACAATAAACGAAAACTGTCAAAATACATTAAAATGGTGCATACAGTATTACCATTTGTAGTGGATAACATAGAGAAATTTAAAACAAACTCTTGATAACCACAATATAAGTACAAGATACAGATATAACCTTCATGTACTAAACACACCCCAGTAAATATCAGAAAGGATTTTACCATATTGGAATTAGGCTATTCAGTAATTTTCCCCCCACTGTTAAAAGTCTGAGTCACAGTATAAAGAAGTTTAAGCTGGCCCTAAAAAAATATCTCCTGTCTCACTCTTTCTACTCCACAGAACTTACCTCAGCAAAATATTTTCAGCTGTTATATATGCATGTAAGCAATGATGGTTATGCTGCAAATTATTTGTATTAGAAACAAGTATTTGTGCTACAACATGTTCTATATCCTTTGTTTAGGCCTATGAATTATCTGTGGAGTGTAAATAAATTGTTTTATTAGTCTATCAATACTAGTAGGAAAATCATAAACAAACCTCTCATAAAGGAATATTATTTATGAACACCGCCTTTGTTATAAAGCAAAATTGCATACATTTCAGCGTTCATTTATTAAATTGTACTATATTCAAATCTGTTAAATACCTGCAAATGCATTTTCTTTCCAGCTATTTGCTTACAATTGCAGATTGCATCTCCTATTATGAAGTTCCTTATACTCTCTTTGTATACAAATTTAATGGTTATAGATGGGAGTGAGGTTCTCATGGGTATTAGTCTGCTGATTAATAAATTCTCAGGCTGTCAGTCATATCAGTTGGTTAACAACCACTAATGTTTCAGGGACCATCTCTATCCCCACTGTCAGGATACCTTGATGAGGCAGTAAGTACACCTGAAACATTAAAAACAGTGCAAGAACCCAAAAGAGAGCCATCTTAAAATCTAATTTTGATGTGTCTGGGTGCAGCTGGTCGGTAAATCGAAGAAAACCCTACTTAGAAGAAGTAAGATAATGTAGCTGGGACGACAGCGTGAACACTAAGCATGCATGCTCTGGATGAGACCATACCTGTCAGCAGGTGGGGGATGATGTAACTCTTTTTTCCTTGGCAAAGGTTCAACCTACACAATGCAATATAATTGTTTCCATGTTGTTAAAGATTATACTCGTGTCATAAACTTCACTACAGAACAAAATGAGTGAACATTATTAAATATTTCAAACAGACTCATATGTTTATTAAATTCCACAAAATTTCACTAACTTCATTATAACAGCTGTCTTTCTATCAGGCACTCAAAGGGAGGACAGTAAGAGATAACATACATATACAGTGGAAGTAAGGTTTTGAGGTATAATAAAATAAATATTTTTCACACACTACAGTTTAAAAACTTGAGGAGTGGGGCAGTCATACTATAAAGTCATCAAAAATGTCTTCAAACTCAACTGAACTGTGTTATGAAAAGGCCAAAGATACATATACACAGCAATCCATCACCAAAAATAACAGTGAAAAACACCATTGCTGGCAAGACCTAGGGTTTTTGGAAAATTGGGGGTCAGGAGAATTGTGGCTGCTGTTGATGCCCATCAGGGCCTAAGTTGGTTGTTCTTTCACTAATTAGATAGCTTATGGAACCTTAAGGTTCATCACCAAATTAACCAAAGCCCTCCACCGGACCCTGTCCTGGGCCAACAAAATCCAGTCTCCTTCACCTCCTATGTCCCATAGACCCCACCTGAGATTATCCTCCTATCTACGTCTAGGTCTCCCCAGGGGTCTCTTCCCCTCAGGCTTCCCGACCAATACCAGGTACACACCTCTTGTCCCATCCATGCGCGCTACATGCCCAGCCCATCTCATTCTTCTCGACTTAATCGCCCTGACAATATAGGTGGAGGAGTACAGATTTTTAAGTTCATCATTATGCAGTTTTCTCCATACCCAATCATCTTCTCTCCTAGGCCCAAATATCCTCTTCAACACCTGTTCTCAAACACCTTCAATCTATGTATCTCTCAGAGTGAGAGACCATGTTTTGCACTCATACAAAACAACAGGCAGAATATAAAATAAGCAAACAAAATATTAACACTATAAAAATAGTTTATAGTTTGCTTATTTTATATTATAATACACTACACGGTATGCAAAGTTTTAAGATTTTAACAGGCAGAATTATTGTTTTGTATATTTTAATTTTCAGGTTCTTAGAAATCAGACGGGAAGACAAAATATTTTGAACTGAGAAGCAGCAAGCATTTCTGGAATTTATCTCCTCCTAACTTCCTCATGAGTATCATTTTGTTTTGTTATTGTTGTCCCCAAATATTTGAACTTTGTCACACTTTCAAACGATTTATTAGCCACCCTAAGATGATTCTGCCCGCCTGTCTCGTTCTTTCACTAAACACAAAACATAAATAATAATATAATCTAACCTAACCTATTTAAAAATAATACATGTTCAGGAAACGTACTGACTAAACCAATGAAATCACCAGTTTTAATTGCCTTTTAAGACATTAGATTAATGAGAGATAAGATTATGATGGCAATCATGATTAAGGTTGCACTCAACACATTCATATGCCACAAATTACTTCACTACGAACATAAAACCACAGATACATAAAAGTAAATATCACAGTTACAAGAACAGGATAAAAATGGAAACTTGTGGATATCTGAAATTTGTGGTTTGCAAGGAACTGCTCTAGTTTGTAACATATAAGTCATAGATATATTTCTCACTTATAAACCCAGTTCTATGGCAATGGCACTATGGATGGTATGTATATAAAAATGTACTTATGGCACATACCTCACTTCCTAGTTCCAGTCTCCAATGGACTTTCATCATATTTTAATTTAGAAACACTGGTGACAGCAATCACAGGATATAATAGGTTGTCATCAAATACGGCTTCAGGAAATTTGCCAAAAACTTTAAATTTCCACTCTCAAAGGAGATTTTGTGTGTGTGTGAAAAATAAAAGTATATGCATAAAACTGTACAAAGAAATACAATGGAAATAAGTAAAACAGGTAGTGTAATTATATATGGTGACAGTAATCCTACAAGCTTGGCACTACTTCAGTTTCAAGTGACATATTTCTCACTGTTCGAATGTTTTCTGGTATGGAAATAGATTTTCAAAGATAAGTAAATGCTCTAAAATTATGATTACAAAGGGGAAACAAATATATAATATAATTCAGTACATTTCATGGTAACATTAAATTTGTACATTTTATTCAGTCAATTCAGGACATTTTCACCATCCTTCCAAGTATTAGGCCCAATAAGCATGTTACATGCAATACAAACCATTCCATGCTTTTAGATACCTTCTTAATCATCAGAAATATCATATAAATAAGCATTAGTTCAGGATTCAGAACTATAAATATAAGAATACATGCACAAAAAAAATATATGCTCATCTCCATCCCTGTGGTAAAAATACATTAATATACATTATTTTAATATACTGTCATTATTAATATCTTTAAAAAGTAAAAAAGAGTTAACACTGCATTATATATGTATTAGTCTGAGGGTCAGTAAAAATGTGAGAGAGAGACCTAACGTGTGAACACATTTTCAAATGAAATATTTAAGTCTACAATGTTTTTTTTATGAGGGTTCAGATGATATCAAAGTGCTAGTGCTCAAACGCATTTAATATCACTCTTACGTTATCTCATAAAAGCCACTTTTAATAAAATAAAGGTGTACAAAGTGCACGCAAGTGAAGTGACTGACACAAATAATAGCAGTTGAGTTTTGGACGCTTCTGTGCATCTACTGTCACGTGCCCTTGTGAGCCAATCAGCTTAAGAGAGTCGGTATTGAGCTACTTCAAGTGTGAAACATACATTGTTTGTATTTCATTCTCTCTCTGTTCCACCTGCCTTTGTTCATGTCAGTCACTTTAATTCCTCCACATATGATTACTCTGTTCTACATGGAGTTAGTTAGCTGCATGGTCTGATCACCTTTACTCCTGGAAGAGGAATTTAATCTTACTCATTTGACAAGGGAATCTCAGCATGGTTAAGAAAGGAAACCCCAACACCCTGCCAAGAATTGCATCTTGGCTGTCCAGATTAAAGCCAATCACTTTACTGCAGTATCACAGCTATGCAGCTTTCACTTTAATTCTTCAAAGCACCGTGGTAACTATGTGTTACCTTCTCTGACAGTCAATAACTCTGCATTCTGGTCTCAGTAGTGAAATGGGCTTTGTATGATTCTCATAATAAAGTGATTATATCCCTAAACATTAACTAATTGATTTCTAAAACAGAGACAGGGTGCATTCTATTTGAGGTAGGAACTTCATTTTTAATTATTTAGGTTATTTATCCTTGAAAGGATCAACACTTTCTCTCTACTGGCAGTAGTGTTAATATTAGATGTCTCTTGCCTAGCTGCCAGCAGTGGTAATCATGCCATGCCAATGTTTGAAAACACAAAATATCTTCAATACCTAAATGAAATTTTCACCGACTGATACCTCTAAGTTTCTAATTTCAGTTTCTCTGAGCAGAGTTCATCATCTTATGCCATAATAACATCCTGTCATCTCAAAGTAAACAATGAACTAACTCTTCTAAGAACAGAACTGCCCTTCTCTCGTAAGTGATGGGCTTGTTTTCACTGAACAAGATGTTATCAAGTTTACGGCATAATAGATTAATCTATTTTCTGTCCAAAAACAAATGTGTACAAGTTCAGACACAACAAACAAATTCTATGATTCTGTACCATTCTGTTTGTTCCAAACAAGATGGATAATCAATATCCCAGTATGAGCGTTGATTATCCTTTGTAGTCAAATTATATTTCAAGACAAACAGTAACAGAAACTATAAATAATTCAGACTCAAGACACAATAAAATTGATAACAGACTCTTTTACTGAACAATGACATTTCTGTAACAGCAGCCTTAAAAAATAAATTGCTACACAACAGAACGAGCAGTGGGCATGAAAGAAATGGAGCCAAACATAAATAACCAAGCTCTGATTCTGAATTAACATGGACTGATGAAACTGAATACAGAGACATGCATTTTCTGGAATTTTGCGAATGAATGAAAATTTGCCATTAACAAAGAATGCACTTGCATAAAAAGATACAAGATAACATTTAATCATGAAACATCCAAATTAATGCAAAATGAAACCAACATGATTGCAACAAAACAAACAAATGAGAGAGCAAGAATATCAATTGGTATGTACTGTGTAACACTTCTTAAAATTCTGACAATGTTTTATATAAATAATTACACATATATGCTAGGTTATGGTGCCTTGCAGAAGTTTTTTAAAAGGGGATTTTTTGATGATGACCATTCTAAAATGAACTATTGGGGGTAAAATGTAATTATTAGACAGAGGATTTAAAAGTGTGGCATCACTGAACAACTGATCATAAGTTATTTATGGCATAAGGATGAGGAAATCTTATATTTGTGTGTGTGCACAAATTTCATATAAAAACTAACAAAGCTGTTAGTTACAGCACACTAAATTTAAGTATTTAAATACTTCAACAATAAAAATGGTAAACCAACAGAACTGTAATACAGAAACATCTCTGCAGCTGCACTACGTGCCTCAAAACTCACACTGAAATCCACCATTTGATATGGAAATATTTAATGGACAGGGAGTATAATAAGTTCTCTACAGAACTTCTTACTTATTTCTAAACCCAAGATTTTAGGTGATAACCTCACCTCCATGAAAATAAATATTTTACATTTCATACAGGTCTATTGCCTGAAATATAAGAACACCTTCATTTGTGATAAATCTAAATCTGTTTGTAATAAGAACCAGGACAAACAAACCTAGAATTAATTACAGGAAAGATAAAGCAGTCTCATTTAATCAGATAACACAGTGTAATATCAACTGCATCCACACAAACTGATTCTGCTATCACAGTTTAAAATCATTGTAAATAAAGATTTTAACTGCGAAGTTTTCACAGAA